GCATGTCTGCATTTTATGGCAGCTCACTATACTACACCTCTGGGCTGCGTTGCAATGTGAACGAGGAACATAGAAAGCAATTGTGTTTTCTGTGTGGTTTATCAGTGACTGGCGTTTTCAAGTGCAGGAAATTACAAAAGCACCATGCGATTTCTCTGGAGCTATGCTTGTCAAAAAGGTGCAGGGATTTTTTTTTTCCTGCATTCCCGCAGCTGCAGCAAACACATAAATGTGAACCTAATGTTAGCTGTACCCCAGGCAAATGTAGGAGCAACATCAATGAGAGCTCGTTCACACCACAATTTATGCGTTTCTGCATGCACATTTCTTAAGCGTTCCAGTGTGTTTCCCCTCCTTTTTTCTTCATCTTACTTCAAGACATGTGCATTTCGGTGCGTTTTTTGATGCATTTTGCCAAATTCCAGATGCGTTCCATACGGAAAAAATGCAGCAAGTTCTACTTTTGTTGACTGTACTGGAACGCACTGCACTGATGTGAAACTAAAAGTTATAGAAAATACCAATTTTTGAGTATTAGAGGGGAAATCTAATGGGGACACTAGTTCTGGTGACCTGGGGGCCCCAAGGGATTCCCTTAATTTGCTGGGATTTCCTCTCACTTCCTGTTTCAGCTATAGGACAGGAGATGAAGGTAAATCTCCCCAATGGGACATGATGACAGGGGTTATAACCCTCCCTTACTCTATCCAAAATGAAAAATAAAAGTTTTTCCTATAGTTGTACTTTAATATCAGCCTCTTATAATTCCTTTGTACAGTAGGACTGGTAAGGGAGGGGTAGCATGAGAAGCCAGTCAAGTAAGCATCATGCCAATATACTGACAGGAGGAGAGAGCGGAGGGCTGAGCTCAATCTGTTGCTCTTCTTCACTGTCCAGTCACAGGCTGGAGGCAAGGAGGTGACCCAGATACTGTTTTTTTCTGCAGCAGTAAAAAGTCAGGTCACCCTCCTGACTGTGGATTGGAAGAACAAAAACATAAATCCATTGGCAGGTAAATTCTTTTTACAATGAATTTTATTGTAGAATAGATAACATCAGAGAAACAGTCATAAACAGAATCACTGACCAACAAAAATAAAAGTTTTCTGATGAATAATACAATAAATTCATGTATAGACAAGGAAATAAACTGAATACACAAGCACAGTATATAAAGAGGGAAAATAAAACATACTGTAATAAGTTGCAAAAATGGCAGACAAAGACCAATTAATTAATAAACTAAGATCAAAGATTATCACAAAATCCACATACAGAAGGCAGGAAAAATAGAACACGGAGCCTCGCTGGATGCACATTGGTACTCCACACCCAGGACTCCCAAGGAAATCCAACAGGTAGATATAGTATTGCTGGTACAGTTCTTAAAACAAAAGTTACAATCAGCGCAAATATCATGAAAACAGGCTGAACAGAAAAGAAAAGAGAGAACGAAGAAAAAAGAAACAAAGACAAAGAAAGGGCTCCAGGGGATCGCGATGGAAAAAAAAAAAAATCTTATATCAACAGAAGGGTCTGGTCAAATCTCGATGGTTGGGCCATATCAAGCCAGGGACACCTCGTCTGCAGAAACTTCGTGTGGGTGTCAAACAGAATAGCCGTCAATTTCTAATTAACCATTTTAACCCCTTCACGCCAGTCGCACACAAATGTGCGGCCTCTGGGCCTAGACGCCGAGCGGCCGCACATTTGCGTTCAGGTAAGAAAAAACATGTGCTTGCGCGCTCCCAGCACACGTCCGGTATTTACAGAAAGGTCCCGGTTGCTCTTTTTTCGATCAGGACCTTTCCCAATCATGTGACCGTCGTGACGAATCGTCACAGCGGTCACATGATCCCTTAACCACGCCCCGCCTCCGGGCTTCTGAAACTCTTAAAGGGCCGGGAGGCGCCGGCGCAAAGGGGATAAAATTCACCCAATTTTTGACTGCTTCAAAGCTGAGGAGAGGGTCTTCCAAGCCCTCGCGATCTTTAGTTTGGTAGCCATGAATAGATGTGATGCCAGCTGTTGCTCAGGACGAAGTAGGCCCACCAATAGTTTAAATACTAGCGCCTCATACGGGTTGTGCTCAATGTTTGTGTGAAACATTGGCAGGTAAATTCACTATCATGTCTTTATTTCAACTGCATATCTGTTATCGGTTGCCTGGAGTTTATTCTAACCACTTGAACTCAGGAAGGTTTTACCTCCTTCATGACCAGGCCATTTCTTGCTATTCAGCACTGCTTTACTTTAACGTAGCAATTGCTCGCTCATGCAACGCTGTACCCAAAATAAATTTATATCATTTTTTTTCACACAAATAGACCTTTCTTTTGGTGGTATTTGATCACCACTGAATTTTTTATTATATAAATGAAAAAAGACCGACATATTTTCCATTTTGTGTTATAAAACATATCCGATAAAATCAAATTTCTTCATAAATTTAGGTCAAAATGTATCTGATAAATGCCTTTGGTGAAAAAAAAGTGTATATTACTTTGTGTGAAAGTTATAGTCTACAAACGATGATATATATACACTGTAAATTTGAAAATTGATCAGTCCTGATGTACTGACATTTTTGGCAGTGTATGACTTATTTCTTGAGGCCCGAAAATGCCAGGAAAGTACAAATATTCCCCAAATGACCCCTTTTTGGAAAGTAGACTGTCTTAAGTATTTATGAAGAGGCATGGCGTGTTTTTTAACCACTTGCCTACCGGGCACTTTTACCCCCTTCCTGTCCTGGCCAATTTTCAGCTTTCAGCGCTGTTTCACTTCGAATGACACTTGCGCGGTCATGCAACACTGTGCCCAAACAAAATTTTTAGCATTTCTTTGAGACAGATAGAGCTTTCTTTTGGTGGTATTTAATCACCTCTGGGGTTTTTATTTTTTGCTAAACAAACTAAGAAAGTCTGAAAATGAAAAAAAAAAAGTTTTTCTTAGTTTCTGTTATACAATTTTGTAAATAAGTAAATTTTCTCCTTCACTGATGTGCACTAATGAGGCTGCAATGATGGGCACTGATAGACTGCACTGATGGGCACTGATGAGGAGACACTAGTAGGTGGCACTGATGGGCATTGACAGGTATCACTGATGGGCACTGAAAGGCAGCACTCATATATGGCACTGATAGGTGGCACTGACTGGCACTGATAGGCGGCACTGACTGGCACTGTTAGGTGGCACTGATTGGCACTGTTAGGCGGCACTGACGGGCACTGATAGGCAGCACTGATAGGTGGCACTGATTGGCAGCACTGATAGGTGGCACGGACTGGCATTGATAGGTGGCACTGACTGGAACTGATAGGTAACACTGAAAAGCAGCTCAGATGGGCACTGATATGTGGCATTGATGAGGCACTGATGGGCGCTGGCAGGTGGCATTGATGGGCAATGATAGCTAGCTTTGATGGGCACTGAGAGGTGGCACTGCTGGGGCTACACTGATCATCAGGGCACACTGATCATCAGTGCCCTGATGGTCAGCTTGTAGATGTCCCCTCTGAGGAATGCTGATTACCGGCTGTCCTCTCCTCTGTCAGCGTGACAGCTTGTGAGGAGAGAAACGCCGATAACCGGCATTTCCCTATTTACATGTGATCAGCTGTGATTGGACACAGCTGATCACATGACCGAGCTGACATCTTCAGCTTTTTCCATTGATCGGTGATCCGCTGTGTCCGAGGGACACAGCACACAACCGATCACTGCGCTGCGCACTCCCGGAGCCGAGCATGCGCATTTAGATTGGGAGGATGTCATATGATGTCCTCCCAGAACGAGAGAACCACCTTGCGCCTGTCATTACCATATATGGCGGGCGGTAGGCGGTTAACTAAAGAGTATCAAATAAGCATTACCAAACAACATGGTTATTTTAAGTAAGAACACAGTCCCTTGTAATTAATTATAAAAATACTGATGTTCCTGTGCCTAGGCTGGCTAGATCACATGGTCACTGACTAACCTCTTCACATCACATTCCCCCCTTTATACTACAGCACCCCCTTTTACATTGCAGAACCCCCTCTTTACATCACAGCACCCCCCTTTACAGTGCAGATCCTTCTTTAAATTACATTGCCAGTCTTGATTCTTCAACTTATGTGTCTTGTTCAGTGGTGGTCAGGTTTCAGCCTTCCTTACCTTGGCCATGTCTCTGAGCACTGAACACTTTGTACTTCTGGGCACTCCCGATGGATTGCAATTCTGGAATATGACAGCACTGGAGGATAATGAGTTCCTGGGGGCTTCACATTTGATTCTTCTCAAATCTTGGACAGTTTATTTTCTGAGCCGTGCTCTGTGTGTCAGTGGACACACACAGCGTGGTTCAGGAGCGAGCCCACATGCGTGCCTCCTTAGCATGTGATTTGCTATGGAGGCACTTGGCAGGGTGCCTGGAGCGCCAACGAGGGACCCAATAGAGGAGGATCAGGCCTGCTCAGTGCATTACTATTGAACAGAGCAGGTAAGTGTGTCATTTTAAAAAAATAAAAAGTGATCCATTACAATCACTTCAATCTATAGCTCACAATACATTAACATGAATAATGAATTGTAAATAAAAAAAAATAAGAAAGAATGTGGTGTACATTTGTCACTCAGGGCTGCTCTATATGACAAAATTACAGTTGTGCTCAAATGTTTGCACCACCTTGGAGAATTGGTAATATACAGTATGTACTATTTTTAACCACTAGCCTACCGGGCACTTATACCCCCTCCTGCCCAGGCCAATTTCCAGCTTTCAGCACTGTCACACTTTGAATGTGTGTCATACAACACTGTACCCATATGACATTTTTATAATTTATTTTGTGACAGAGCTTTCTTTTGGTGGTATTTAATCACCTCTGGGTTTTTTATTTTTTCTTAAACAAACTAAAAGCCACTGAAAATTAAAAAAAAAAAAGTTTTTGCACTGATGGACACTGATAGGTGGCACTGATGGGCACTGATGAGGAGGCACTGGTAGGTGGCACTGATGGGCATTGACAGGCATCACTGATGGGCACTGAAAGGCAGCACTCATATATGACACTGATAGGCAGCACTGACTGGCACTGATAAGCGGCACTGACTGGCACTGTTAGGCGGCACTGATAAGCAGCACTGACTGGCACTGATAGGCGGCACTGACTGGCACTGTTAGGCAGCACTGACGGGCACTGATAGGTGGCACTGATGCACACTGATTGGCGGCACTGATGCACACTGATAGGCAGCACTGACTGGCACTGATTGGTAGCACTGATAGGTGGAACTGATTGGCATTGATAGGTGGCACTGATTGGCACTGATGGGTGACACTGAAATGCAGCTCAGATGGGCACTGATATGTGGCATTGATGTGCACTGGTAGGCACTGATATGTGGCATTGATATGGCACTGATGGGTACTGGCAGGTGGCATTGATGAGCACTGACAGCTGGCACTGATGGACACTGACAGGTGGCACTGCTGGGGCTACACTGATCATCAGTGCCCTGATGATCAGTGCACATGTCCCCTCGGAGGAATGCCGCCGATTACTGGCTCTCCTCTCCTCTGTCAGCGTGACAGCTCGTGAGGAGAGAAATGCCGATAACCGGCATTTCCCTATTTACATGTGATCAGCTGTGATTGGACACAGCTGATCACATGACCAAGCCGACATCTTTGGCTCTTTCCGTTGATCTGTGATCCGCTGTGTCCGAGGTACACAGCGCATCTCCGATCGCCGCACTGCACGCTTCCGGAGCCGCGCATGTGCGGTTAGAGTGGGAGGACGTCATATGACGTCCTCCCAGAACGAGAGAACTGCCTTGCGCCCGTCATTGTACTATATGGCGGGCGGGAGGCGGTTAAAGAAAGCATGAGTGAGTAGACAAACCCATTTCTTTTATTTTTTATGGGATTCATGTTCACCTGTCGGTCACATCAGAATGGCACAATCATAAAACAAAACATGGCAACAAGTAAACAAATGAAATGCCCCCTGTTCAAAAGTATGTATCCCCTTAGTTCTTAATACTGTGTATTGCCCCCCTTTAGCATCAATGACGAGGTGCAGTCTTTTGTCATAGTTGTCTATAAGGCCCAGAATTCTTGCAGGTGGTATAGCTGCCTGTTCTTCTTGGCAAAATGCCTCCAGGTCATGCAGAGTCTTCGGTCCTCTTGCACGTTTGAGATCTCCCCAGTGTAGCATGATCATATAAAGGTCAGGAGACTGTGATGGTCACTCTAGAACCTTCACCTTTTTCTGTTGTAACCACTGGAGGGTCAATCTGTCCTTGTGCTTAGGTCATTGTCATGTTGGAAAGTCCCAAGAACAGCCCATGCGCAGCTTTTGTGCAGAATAATGCAAGTTGTCTGCCAGTATTTTCTGTCAACATGCTGCATTCATCTTGCCATCAATTTTCACAAGATTCCTTGTGCCTTTGGAGTTTACACACCTGCAAAGCATCAGTGAACCACCACCATGCTTCACAGTGGAGACGGTATTCTTGTCACTATAGACCTATTGACCCCTCTCCAAACATAGCACCTATGGTTGTGACCATTAAGCTCTATTTTGTTCTCGTCACTCCAGATACAGTGTGCCAGAAGCTGTGAGGTGTGTCAAGGTGTTGTCGGGCATATTGTAACCGGGCTTTTTTGTGGCATTGGTGCAGTAAAGGCTTCTTTCTGGCAACTCGACCATGCAGTTCATTTTTGTTCAAGTATCGTCATAATTGTGCTCCTTTAAACAACCAAACCATCTTTTTCCAGAGCAGCCTGTATTTCCCCTGAGATTACCTTGGGCTTTTCTTTGTATCCTGAACATTTCTTCTGGCAGGTGTGGCTGCATTCTTTCATAGCCTCCCTGACTTTGGCTTGGTATCAAGAGATCCCCAAATTTTCAACTTCCTAATAAATGATTGAACAGTACTGACTGGCATATTCAAGACTTTGGATATCTTTTTATAGACAAACGAAACCAGTGCTCAAATCTGCATGCAGACCAAGAGGAATTCACAATGGCAAACAAAGAGATTCAGCCCTTCAAAGATCGGGAAATCCGGGTACTGATGAACAAAAAACGAAAAAAGGGCGCACTCTCATCCTGCATTACCGTGGTAAACCCTGTATTTATTGTATAATCAAATAGATATATACTCACAAACCAAAGGATAATAAAAGCAGTATGAATAGTCCGCAATGGTGGTCACTGCAATGCTGTGCCCCAATTGGGGATGACTGATGCGTTTCGGGAGACGAACCCCCTTCCTCAAAGCTCTGTTTACCACGGTAATGTACGATGAGAGTGCGCCCTTTTTTTGTTCATCTTTTTATACCGTTCTGCTGCTGCTGAAGCTGCAATGTCCTACCTTCACAATTGTATTAGTACTAAAATGAAGGTAAATGGAGTGAATTTCCTGACTTTCACATAGTTGCAGTATTTTGTGGGCAGCATTAGCATTTCTCTTACTGGTATTATTTTTTCCCAGGAGGTGTCCTTTCGATACACATGTAAGATTTTTCTTCAGTTGTAATAATCATTCAGATAAATAACCTATCACATTCTACCACAGAAAAATAAAACCGCTTTATTATTGGTCCAATTTTTTTTCCTCGCAGAAAGAAAAGCAAATTTAGGAAGGGCCGACTTCGATAACGCGAGATTACTGCTGTCATTACAAGATAGCGGCTTCTCCTGGATTAGACAGTAAGAAGCTTCATTTGGAGTGATTTGCTTTGATTCGTGAGATTATGCAGCAACACCAGAGTTTTAATCCGCGCACTCTGATACGACATACCGCGGACTCTGACTCTGACCCTTCTGCGGCTGAAACGCTAAGCTGGTTCATTTGAATTATCCTTCAGCAAAGCTCCCAAGGCTATTGTTCTGATATTCGGGTGGGGCTTGTCAAAAGTATGAATAGCTGATCCATATGTAGAAAAAGAAGTGGAGTTGGGGGGTAGAACATAGGCAGGGCTTCAAGAGACCCAGTCACCAGTGGACATTTGCAATAATCTAAATGTTCATTTTTTTTTTTTATATTGCAACATTACCCCTTACATCAAGTATCTATCCCTTTTGTAGTGTCAGGCTGTAAGGTCGCTCTATCTCCTGGTTTACTGATACCGTAGACCAGGCATCACTAAATCCGCAAATGGACAGAATGACAGTCCTATGTGGCCTGTGGCTCCGCAACTTAGCAGCCTGGATGTCCTCTGTCGGCTGATATCCTCCTCCCTCCTGTCGCCACCACCACAGTAATTATCCTTATAGCAGGTGGAAAGCACAGCATGCCCAGCCAGAGGGCGGGAGCTGCCCAGTTTTTCATGTTAACAAGCCGGTGATTGGTTGTTAGGTGTTCCTAGCAACCAATCGCCTGCCTGTTAACATGAAAAGAATGTCCCACCCTCTGTCCAGGCCTTCTGCCTTCTACCTGCTATGTAAGGTAGGATCAAAAAGATTAGAGGAGGGTTGTAATTGACAGGGGGTAACATAAGGGAGGGTGGTATTCATATAAAGATGACTGGGCTGCAAGGAAGGAAGGAAGGCCATGAAGGGGACCAGTATACAAAATGGGAGGCCTGTAAAGGGTACTGGGGTGCAAGGAAGGGGGGCTGTGAAGTGGACTGGGGTTCAGGGAAGGGGAGAATGTGAAGGGGACTGAGATGCAAGTAAGGGGGAGGCTGTAAAGGGAACTGGGGTGCAAGGAAGGGGGGCTGTGAAGCGGACTGGGGTTCAAGGAAGGGGAGAATGTGAAGGGGACTGAGATGCAAGTAAGGGGGAGGCTGTAAAGGGAACTGGGGTGCAAGGAAGGGGGACTGTGAAGCAGACTGGGGTTCAAGGAAGGGGAGAATGTGAAGGGGACTGAGATGCAAGTAAGGGGGAGGCTGTAAATGGAACTGGGGTGAAAAAGGGTGCTGTGAAGGGGACTGGGGTGCATAAAAAGGGGTGCTGTGAAGAAGACTGGGCTACAAGGAAGGGGGGCTGTAAAGGGAACTGGGATACAAGGAGGGGGGCTGTGATATGAAAGGGTGACAGAGGACACTGATGTGAAGGAAAGGGGGACTATGATGTGAGGTGGGGGCTGAGGACACTAATATAAAGGGTGGGGGTCTGAAATGTAAGAAGGGGGGGGCTCTGATGTGAAGGGGGGACACAGGACATTTAGGTAAAGGAGGCACTGTGATGTAAAATGGGGGAACTTGAATGTTAAAGGGGCTGTGATGTAAAGCAGGCACTGTAAGTTAAAGAATGGGCTGCATTGTAAAGGAGGGTGCTGTGATGTAAAGAGGGGGTTCTGCAATGTAAAAGGGGGTGCTGTGGTATAAAGGGGGGACTGTGATGTGAAGAGGGCTGTGATTTAAAGGGGAGACGCTGTGATATGAAGAAACCGAGTCATAGCATAAATATGAGACTCCTTGTTGGATGAAATTTGTAATGACTGGACCACCATGAATTTTAATTCAATATCCCTGTCGTAGACATTCAAAAAACTGTCACACAGCTAGGATGCGGGCGGTTGGAAGGGGGTTGGGTAAACTGGAGTTGGGCTTTCAGAGAAAAAGTAAACAGCTAAAGATATTTGCTTTTTGATACTGCTATGCACACTTAGAGGCTGGAAGACAGTTTTTAATGTCAGTCAGCTGACATGACAGCAACAGTTTGACTTCAACTCCCTCAGTCTCAAGCAGAAAAACAAGATTTAAAGGTCAGTAAAGCTAAATAACGGGGCAGATATTAAGTCTGCACAATTCCAAAACTGAGCACTGAGCTCCATTTTGTCCAGTTCTCTGACATGTTCTTTGCTGAAGCAGAACACCCAGCTGCAAGCAGGGGCGGACTGACAACTCATGGGGCCCCCAGGCAATAGGGGATCATGAGGTCCCTGTGTCATCGCCCGCACCTAAAAAAGCCTATGAAAAAGCCAATGAAAGGTACCAGGGGCATCTCATGGGGCCCCCTACTGACCCTCGAATGGTCAGTCCACCCATGGCTGCAAGGGGCCCATGGTTCCGCATTTTGGTAAGTACCGTAGGAAAGAATTCCCTGGATTACGTAGTTCTAGTGGGTAAATTTGTAATAATGTTGTGGAATATTGTCAGGTGAATTAAGGTTATTGCATTGTTACGGTTTTGTTTTCCTACATTTACAAGCTTGTGATACGTGTCTTATTGTTGCTGGAGGCCGCGTGCAGAAAATAGGAGGTTTTTTTCTGCAGAAATGTTTGCTCTCGAGCTGCAGTCTCGGGATAATGTAGTTATAGATCAAGATTTATCTCTGTGCTGGAATAAAAAAGTGTTGAAGAGCTATATGATAAAGGGTTACGTTGCTGCTGTCGATCCTTAGGCTTCCACTGAGATGTATTGGGAGTATCATAGTGTGTCTGGTGTGCAAAGTTTCCGAAAAACGCATGTCACATGAGCTGCATGCTGTATACACTCTTCATTCAGAGATATATTATACATGTCAACTATTGCAGCAAAATATTTATACCTTGGTTCTATAACACGTATGTTCAAACACTGGAGAGTGACACCAAAGTCTCTGTCTCTGCATGGTCTTGTATCGCACTCCGGACTGCAATCCCTACGTACTTATATCACCAAGCAACTGGTGGGTTCCTCTTTATACTAACTCTCCCACTTCCCAAGCTCCTAGTTCCTTAACACATGTGAATCAGGCAAATGCCTAACAGTTTATATATA